CTGCCCATCCAGCTGTGCTGCAGCTGCATGGGGGTTCTCACGCTACTTCTCACTGTCTTATGCATGCGCCCATGTCCACAACCCCCATCAGACTGTGTCCTGGACCTGGAATATCTATCTTTTGCAGTTAAGTAGAACTCCTTACACATCTAGCTCACATTCCATGTCCTTTAAGAAGCTTTTCTAGAAAGCTCCAGCTGAAAACTCACTTCTTTCCCCCTTCTCACTATTTCCTAGGTACCCATTAAAATAAAGCCGTATTATATACAGGTTGTGTCCTAAACTGTAAATTATGGCAAAAGACAAAAATCCATGTCTTACTTACTTTTAACTACCTACAGTGTATCACTGTTGGTACCTGGTAAATGGTTTAATTGTATAAACTTTCAGTGCTATAAAATTAGCTATAAATCCAGTGCCTGCCTTTATTACTATAAAAGCAATCGTAGGGGGAAAGAATTCTCTCTAGCAATTAATTAGATCAAGGAACCACATGACACTATATTTAACTTACTTTTTTAAGGTTTTTGCTCCTGAAGATGCATGAGGTTGGAGGTAGAAAGGAATTTTGTTGAATTTGGGCATATTTTTCTGAAATATTAAAAGTTAAAAAGGTATAATAGTTTCTATTAGCTGATAATAATGTCAATATGAAAAACATGATTTGCAAGTAATAATTATTTTACAATTAAAAGTGACCATCTATGAACTTTATAAGCTATCACATTATCTAAATCGTCCCTCAAGAAATTTATCAGAAAACTATAGTTTTGTAATAAAATATATGAAAAGACAAATTAAATGCAATATTAGTAGCAATATGAAATCGTAGCATGGCTCTTCTTAAATAACAGTATGAGCTATTAAAGAGAAAGACATTTTCTTTTAATGTTTTAAGCCATACAAACCAAAAATCTTAATTTTGCATTAAAATACAGGGGCTAATACCTAAAGGCCCAAATAAAAACTTAAGTCTGGAGAGAAACCCACAGCATTCACCTTTGAGAAAAGCCACACACTTTACGTTGGTAAGGCCCGTCATCCAACTGAAAAGGCCAATCAGGTCCTCCCATTTTCTTTCCCTCTGATATCAGAGTGAGGTCTGAGGTTTTAAGAAAGAGTGGAAACTTCAGCCAAGAACCTAGATGTCTACCATGAGGTCAACCACATTCTTAGATAAAGGATAAAATTATCTGGTCATCTTTTCTCAGGGTATTAATACCCTCCGAGCCTCCATGGCATATCTTGTCTGGATGTCTCCTCTCAGGAATAAGCCACAGGGCTAAAGTCAGCAATGCATCCCAGCTGAGTTTCACACTCAAAGGAATTAGTGGTTTATGGGGAGCTTGGACACAGAGAAGACCACAGAATATCCATCAGGTGTCACACTGCCTTTAAGTTCTTGGAGGTATATCTGGGACAGAAAATAAAGTTTCTAAACATTCTAGAGATTAAATTCCTTTCCATATGGCTTAAGGAATACACAAAATAGGTCAACAGTACATAAGAGAGTCTAGATACAGACCCATGTGTATACAGAAATTTAGTACATAATAAAGATAGCATCTCAAATTAGTAGAAAAAGGATAGATTACTCAATAAATTGTGATGGCACACTGCCTATCCCTTTGGAAAAAGTTAGAATCCTACCTCATACCAAACAGAAGAATAAATTCTAATAGATTAAAGATCTAGACAAAAAATATCATCAAAGTACTAGAAAAGAATGCAGAACATCCTGGTTACTCTGGAGTAGAAAATACCTAAATAAGACATGAAACTCAGAGCCATAAAAGACCAATTTGATTATTTAAAAATTAAAACCTTTCACCTGGCAAAAGACACCATGAACAAAGTAAAAATTAAACTGAGAGACATACATAATAGTCAAAGGGTTAATATTCAATATAAAGAACTCCTATAAATCAATAAGACAAACGACCCAATAGAAAAACGGGTAAAGAACACAAACAAGTAGTTCACAGAAAAAAATACAAATGGCCAATATGAAAAAAATGCTTAACCTCACTATGAATACTTTAAAAATTCACATTAAGACAATGAGATAATATTTGTCTATCTTTTAGCAAAGATTAAAGATATCCAGCATGGATGCAGGTATGGGGAAGCAGGCACTCATACACTGTGGGTGAGAGTATAAACTGGTACACAGCCTCAGTGGAGGGCAATTTGGCAAAATCTATCAAAATTTGAGATGTGCATACCCTTTGATCCAGCAATTCCACTTCTAGGAATTTATCCTAAAAAGTACACAAAGATATATGTACAAGGACTGCAGCACTGTTTGTATCAGAAAACACTGAAAACAAATGTCCATTAACAGGGGGGACTGCTTAAAAAAGCTATGGGACATTTATACAGTGGAATATTATTCAGTCATTAAAAAAGATACACACACGTATAGACATGAAAAGATGTGCAGGACACATTTTTAAGTGAAAAAAGTTGCAGAACAGTATGTATAAGACACTTTGTGCAAAATAAAATGAACATACACACATAAAGGTACACCAATAATATATGCCTGTGTATGCAAAGAAAAAAGTACTGAAGGCTATGCATTATTAACTTATTAATAATTGTTATCTCTGGAAAGAAGGACAGGGAGTAAATGGGCAAAAATGAATAATTGGGGAAGAGATGAGTTTCCTTTCATTCATTTTATTGAATAAGCATGTATTATTTTTATAATTAAAAACCAACAAAGATAGATAGAGAAACAACTATCAATATTACTTCTGCAACTTTGGAACTGTAAGGAACAGGATGAGGATTCCACTTGGGAGCCCAGTTAATTAGGTTTAAGAACTGTCTAGAGCAGTTCTTAATTTCATGAGTTAAAAAAAATATAAGGGCAAAGTGGGAGTGGGGGCCACTTACATCCACAGTGATGTCAATTACCCATTGTGGCACTGTCTCATTAAGAAGCATCGATTCAGTCTCACCCCCGGAATCTCGGCAGAGCAGCCTAAACATAAGCAATCCATCAAGTAGTAAGTGGCACAACAAACACAGATGACAAAATCACTGTCACAGGCCCTCATGGATTTCATTTAGGACAACTCCCACTTGGCAGCTGAGGAAATAAAGTACTGCCTGGCAAATGACTCACTCAGCTAAAAGGGAAAGCAGGTCCTAAAACTTAGTCCCCGATTTCAAGGCCACGTATAAACACTGTAGTTGCCTTGGGTGATGACAGGAAACCTGAGTACAAGCAAAGCACTTAAGAAGGTCCCCAACCAGTGCTACAGTGCATGGCACAGGAGCTCACATGCAATGGGGGCCAGATGTTTCTGGTAACCACTCTCAGGAAGCTATTATAAAGAAAGCATCCTGCACTCAAGGATAAGACAAGCATTTTTCTTACTTCTGGCCCCTAGAGAAGACTAGTTAGCTCTATCCACTGGCTCTACCAGGGCTATGCTGGCAATGTGGAGGTGAACCAATTCAGCTTTTCCCTGCAAGGCTCCACAAATGACTGCCTGACACCCCAAGCAGTGTCAGTGTCAGCCACAACAGTTCCCAGGGGCAGCCCAGCTCATCCTGGCTGGCCCAGTCTGGGGAAGGTGCCTACTCGGCATCTCTCCTGTGGGCAGGGACTTCTGGTGATGCCATGTATTCCCTGACCGTAGCACACAGGCAAAGTGAAACAACATGAGAGTTTCCTGCAGAAAAGCACCAGAGAAGCTGCTTCAAGGCAAAGTATCTACTACTCTATTCTAGCACTAGAGGTTCTCCTCTTACTAAGAATGTGGACATTTTACCATCTTATGGAAATGAGAAGCTTCCAAATCTTATCCCTGAAAGTTAATAATAAACAGCTTCTAACATCTGCTTGAGTCAATGCTTCTGAGCAAATGGGATGCTTTCTCAGGCAGGGCCTCTGACATACCTGAACAGTGTGCGACCTCCAGCTTCACCAAAGATCACAGGTGTGTGAGGCGGCACTTGAAAATATCCATTTCCCTTCTGCACTCGGTTCTCTTGCTCTCCATTTACTAGGAAAAAAAATGCAGGTTAGTGCTAAAAACACAGATTCTAAACACTTTACTTTCACAAGTTTCAACACTGCAAGATTAAAATCAAAAGTCCTATAAGTCAGAGTTAGAAAGAAAGGTTAAAAAAAAGATTAAATTCCTAAAAATAAGAAACATGGCAACTTGTGGTATACTTCAAGAGAAATGACTAAACTTGGGAGGATTTTAATGAAAAAGGAGATAATGTTGTTTATAAATGATGAATTGGGGTTTTTTTGGTAAATCATGAAGCTGAGAAAAATTTTGGAGGAAAAAAATTATGTTTAATGGCTGCCGTAACCAATGACACAGCTACTAGTGAAAAATAAAATCGTCAAAGAGGGCACACTTTTACTGTTCTCTGTAGATTGTATTTCCACTTTGTTTTCTTTATAATCTTTTGGCTCAGCGCAGTTGAATCCCAACTCTAGTGCCAAGTCATTCATGAACATTCTTTTCATCAAACTGGAAGGAATCTTATCCTCTGAAGTCCTATGGCACTAGCAGAATCTCTCTTTCAGCACCTAACACTTCTCTATCTCAGAATGCTTTCTGTAAGTAGCTCTCTGCCTTACAAGAACATCAGCCCATGAAGGACAGTGGCTATGCCCAGGTGATCTTCAGTACCCCCCACCTGCACCTGCTAAAGCCATTGGTGCTCACTAAACACCCTCTGAACAACTCACAGGTGTCCCTGAGCATGTGCAGGTGCCACTGCAGCCTGAGCTCTGGATGAGGAGGTGGGCACGCCCTGCCCTGCCTTTCCAGTGGCAGTGTGATATTAAGGATGATGTGGAGTTTCTGGTGACTTCTTCCTTACTCTCCCCATTTACAGCCTGGATCCAAGGGGTGATGACTATACCACTGTTTTTGATTCCATAGTCCTTACTGTTTATTTGGGCCTCTGAGGGCATTGGAACTGAAAATGACCTGCCCACAGCAACACAGCTGTTAAGCAGCAGAGCCCATACCAGAACCTAGCTTTCTTGACCCTCTGTGGAACGATCTTTCCATTAGTGGCTCATGGTCCATTGCACAATTCTGACAGGGAGCAGGCAGCAAAGTGGACCAGGTGATAAGAAAAGCCACCATGGGTGGAGTCAGTCAGTGCCTTCTCTCTGACAGGGACATCAGAAGACTGGGTTTTTGTTTTGTTTTGTTTTGTTTTGTTTTTGAGTTGGAGTCTCACTCTGTCGCCCA